CGGAAATCCAAACCATCTCCCACGTCTTTAAGCGGGTGAAGCTCCCAGGTTGTTTCTGTGCTGCACCACGACACCAGAATGGTCAGACTCCCACCTGTAGGCGGACTCATCCCCACCAGAGATGAGTCCAATGAGGGTGGTGTCATCCGCAAACTTAAGGAGCTTGACGGACTGGTGACTGGAGGTGCAGCTGTTGGTGTACAGGGAGAAGAGCAGAGGGGAAAGAACGCAGCCTTGGGGGGAACCGGTGCTGATGGTCCGAGAGGCTGAGACATGTTTTCCCAGCTTCACGTGCTGCTTCCTGTCAGACAGGAAGTCTGTGATCCACTTGCAGGTGGAGTCGGGCACGTGCAGCTGGGAGAGTTTGTCCTGCAGCAGAGACGGGATGATGGTGTTGAAAGCAGAGCTGAAGTCCACAAACAGGATCCTGGCGTAGGTTCCTGGGGAGTCCAGATGCTGGAGGATGTAGTGGAGGGCCATGTTGACAGCATCATCTACAGACCTGTTGGCTCTGTAGGCGAACTGCAGGGGGTTCAGGAGGGGGGGTGAGGGACTTCAGGTGGGTCAGGACTAGCCGTTCAAAAGACTTCATGACTACAGAGGTCAGGGCGACGGGCCTGTAGTCATTGAGTCCTGTGATCCTGGGCTTCTTGGGAACAGGGATGATGGTGGAGGCCTTGAAGCAGGCTGGTACGTGGCATGTCTCCAGGGAGGTGTTGAAGATGTCAGTGAACACCGGAGACAGCTGGTCAGCACAATGCTTCAGGGTGTGAGGGGAGACGGAGTCCGGCTGCCTTGCCGGTCAACGTCTCTCTCCAGAATAGAGAGGGTCGTTGCTGGTGGGGGAGGGGAAGGTGATATAGATGAAGAGGCGTGAGCACCTGATGGGCTGGGGGAGGGAGGGGTAGGGGACTGCAGCAGGTTGGTGGAGCTGTGGGGGATGGGATCAGGACCTTGTCTTTCGAATCTGCAGTAGAACTCATTCAGCTCGTCTGCCAGGTGGAGGTCATTCATGGAGTGGGGGGGTTTTTGGCTTGTAGTTATTGAGGTGTTTGAGGCCTCTCCAAACCGAAGCAGAGTCACTTACTGAGAACTGTTGTTGGAGTTTCTCAGAGTACAGTCGTTTAGCATCTCTCAGCGCCTTGCTAAACTTGTATTTTGCCTCTGTGTACAAGTCTTTGTCCCCACTCCTAAATGCCTGATCCTTCTGCAGGCGAAGTGTTCTGAGTTCCGCTGTGAACCAGGGTTTGTCGTTGTTGTAACTCACCCTGGTGCATGATGGTATTCATCCTTTGCCGTGCGTTAGCGAAGAATTAGAGGTAGTTTTTCCATTTTGAGACGTCGATTTTCCCCCAATTCATTCAGTACAAGTTTGCTCTGAATGTTTCTCTCATCGTGTAGGGCCTCGACCTCTTCCCATACACTCGGTCTTCTCCCCAGAAGATCCTGGTATTCATCCTTTGCCAGGTTTCTTCTTCCCTCATCGCCCCTCTGCAGACGACCTGTTTCCACAGAGGACTCTGTTGGGTTGATCAGCCTTCTGTACTGAGTGCCAGTTTGTGTTTTCGTCCTCGCCCCTTTTTGTGGGGGGGTTGGACGTAGTTTCCCCATGTCCTTGTGGCCCTGGGTGGACACCTTGAAGTTGTCCAACTCTTTCACTGTCTCAATTACAACAGTTCCCTTCTCCCAAGGTCTGAGCAGTGTCTCTTGTGATATCTGCTGTTGTCGAAGCTTGAGTAGTCGATTTCCCCCCAATTCATTCTGTACAAGAATGTTTCTCTCATCGTGTAGGGCCTCAACTTCTTCCCATACACTCGGTCTTCTCCTCAGATTATCCTGGTATTCATCCTTTGCCGTGCGTTGGCGAAGAACTGGAGGTAGTTTTTCCATTTTGAGACGGCGATTTTCCCCCAATTCATTCAGTACAAGTTTCCTCTGAATGTTTCTCTCATCGTGTAGGGCCTCAACCTCTTCCCATACACTCGGCCTTCTCCCCAGAAGATCCTGGTATTCATCCTTTGCCGTGCGTTGGTGAAGAACTCGAGGTAGTTTTTCTATTTTGAGACGTCGATTTTCCCCCAATTCATTCTGTACAAGTTTACTCTGAATGTTTCTCTCATCGTGTAGGGCCTCGACTTCTTCCCATACACTCGGTCTTGTCGTCAGAAGATCTTGGTATTCATCCTTTGCCGTGCGTTGGCAATAAACTGGAGGTAGTTTTTCCATTTTGAGACGTCGATTTTCTCCCAATTCATTCTGTACAAGTTTACTCTGAATGTTTCTCTCATCGTGTACGGCCTCGACCTCTTCCCATACACTCGGTCTTCTCGCCAGAAGATCCTGGTATTCATCCTTTGCCAGGTTTCTTCTTCCATCATCGCTCCACTGCAGACGACTTGTTTCCACAGAGGACTCTGTTGGGTTGATCAGCCTTCTGTACTGAGTGCCAGTTTGTGTTTTCGTCCTCGCCCCTTCTTGTGGGGGGGTTGGACGTAGTTTTCCCACATGCATCTCACACAAGTCATTGTGGCGCGGTGGAACCCAAGGTCTGCGCAGTGTCTTTTGTGATATCTGCTGTTCATTTTGTTGCGGGTGGATCAGCCTTCTGTACTGAGTGCCAGTTAGTGTTTTCGTCCTCGCATCTTCTTGTGGGGGAGTTGGACGTAGTTTTCCCACATGCATCTCACACAAGTCATTGTGGCGCGGTGGAACCCAAGGTCTTCGCAGTGTCTTTTGTGATATCTGCTGTTCATTTTGTTGCGGGTTGATCAGCCCTCTGTAGCGACTGGCTCTGTTTGCATTGGTCCTCTCCACTTGGGGAGGAGTTGGGTGTTGTGGCCCCATGACCTTGTGGCCCCGGATGGACATCGTGATATATTCCAGGTGGTTCTATTCACTTTTATATAATGTTATCCCAGTGTTATTCCAGCTGTTGAATTTACCGTGAGTTTTGTAGTTTTGAGTGTCCAAAGATTAAAGTCTAAAACATGGAGTGTGTCTCTTGTTTGTGTGTGTCTCTTGTGTGTGCCTCCTTCAGACCGAAGAATGTTAATGACTTCCAGGCATTAGATTTGAGAGACTGATGACTTCATTGGATTTCTATTTCTATTTCATCTTTCACCTGTGATCATGTGACCATCATCGCGTGACGCACACAACATTCCGTGTGCGTCACGCGATGGTGATCATGTGACCATTATCGCGGTCACGCGATGATGATCATATCATCGCATATGGTCACGTTTGCATGTAATTTGTATTCATTTGGAACGAAGAACATTGCTTGCGTGTGGTGCTATCTATGCCCAGTAGGTGGCAGTGCAGCGCTGTGGTTTCCGCCGCCTTAACTCTGTATCGTGCAGCGTCTCATCGCTTGAGAAAAGAAAAGGCTTTTTTGTTCATACCTCCATAGCAGGTTCATTTGAGCCAGTTGGATTAGTTCGCCACTAACTCGGAAAAAAAGGGCAGCTCTCTTCCTCATTGATGAAGGAGCGATAATAATTAGATGAACGTTTTATAGAGAGACAGTTCTCTTTTGGCGCTTAATAAACTTCTAGATGTCCCATATCTCACTGCTTCAATTGATCAAATGTCCGATAATGAACAATAGATACACAGGGACCAGCCGTACACATTCACACACACATAATAAAACTCCTAGTTATATATGGTTATCTACACATACATGTATACACATACACAAGCGCTCGGTCCGTGTACGTTTTGATAGTCCCTTTTACCGTAAAAAACAGAAAACGAAAACACTCGTTTCTCGTTTTTGATCAAAAACGATAAAACGGAAGTGGTAAGTCGTTGTCTAGTTTTTCGTAACAAACTCACAACTTTTTACTCCGTTAATCCCTTTCGGGGTTTTGCCCAAAAAACGAAAATACGAAGCGGAACCGCTAAACCGGAAGTACGTAGATTTTCACAGTAAGAGTCAATGGAACTCGAAAAGTGGCA